TCGGGCAGAAAGTCCCAATGTCTAGTTCGTCGCTACTGCTTGTGTTACTAGCACTCAAAGTTTGTAGTAGGAGTTACAAACAGGCGAGATAGGGAAAGGATCCCAAGTCTCCGATGAAAGGAGTGAACGAGTGCTGAGAGCTCAATCGATGCTTAGTCGTGTGCTCGTGTCGTGCTCTTGTGTGGATCTGGCTTGATCCCCTTCATGGGGCACTCTGCTTTCCCTTTTATAGGCCAAGGGAAAGCAAGGGTTACAGTGGAGGAAAAGGAGAAGAACTAGAGAGAGAAAGGCTTCTAGGATCGTTGGGTCCTTCTTCTCCTTCATGCGGGTCCCACCGATCCTGTAGATGTCAATAGGGATGGCTCCACGTCGTGGCCCTATCCGTCATTGGTGCCTTGCGTAGGCGTCATCTGCTGGTTATGGCGTTCCATCCCATCCTAGCGGATGTCGTGGTGAACTGACGAGCCTGTCAGTGTTCGTACGAGGGTTAGGTAGAATAGCACCAGTACGCCTGATGCTATTCTTAATGTGAATCCTCAGGTATGGCCCGTCATGGTCTTGGGTTACATCGAGTTGTGCCCGTCTCTTCCCTGGTGTTAGAGTTTTGATCCAGGCCCATACGCCTGGACCTGTAGTGGTTAGCAGCGATATGGGTCCCCATCAGGCGAGACGGAGCCCACGACCCTTTGGGGTCAGGTAAGACGGAGCCCGCGACCCTTGGGGGTCGGACGAGACGGAGCACATACCCAAAGGTCGGGCGAGACAGAGCCCGCGGCCTCGGGGTCGGGCGAGACGGAAACTGCATCCTTAGGGTTGGGAGAGACGGAGCCCGCGACCTCGGGATCGGGCCAGACGGAGCCCGTGGCCTTGGGCTGAAAGGTCCTAATGGCTAGAGGGGGGTGAATAGCCTATTAAAAATTTCTACAACAACACTTTGCATACCGGTTAGACAATTATAAGGCGAAGCAAGTGTTGCGCTAGCCTACTAAAATTGCAAGCCACCTACAACAATTCTAGTTTCTATAGTCTCTATCCACACAATGGCTCTCATGACTAGCTACACTAAAGAGCTTGACAACTAGTTTGCGGTAATGTAAAGAGAGAGCAAGATGGTTATACCGTCGAGTCGAGGAATGAACCAATCAATCACAAGAATGAATACCAATGAAGACCAATCACCTCGAAATCAAATGATAACACAATGATTTTTTACCGAGGTTTACTTGCTTGCTGGAAAGCTAGTCCTCATTGTGGCGATTCACTCACTTGGAGGTTCACATGCTAATTGGCATCACACGCCAAATCCTCAATAGGGTGCTGCACAACCAACACAAGATGAGGATCACACAAGCCACGATCAATTTACTAGAGTACCTTTTGGTTCTCCGCCAGGGAAAGGTCAAGAACCCCTCACAATCACCACGATCGGAGCTAGAGACAATCACCAATCTCCACTCGATGATCCTCGCTACTCCAAGCCGTCTAGGTGGCGGCAACCACCAAGAGTAACAAGTGAATCCCGCAGCGAAACACGAACACCAAGTGCCTCTAGATGCAATCACTCAAACAATGCACTTGCATTCTTTCCCAATCTCACAAAGATGATGAATCAATGGTGAAAATGAGTGGGAAGGCTTTGGCTAAGCTCACAAGGTTGCTATGTCAATGCAAATGGTCCAGAGAGTGAGCTTGAGCCGGCCAAATGATATTTATTGACACCCCCAAACAATAGAGTCGTTGGCTCAATTATTAGGCTGACTGCGGGATGACCGGACGCGTAGGTCGTGTGCACCGGATGCATCCGGTGTGGTGACTGAACGCGTCCGGTTGCTGTGTCCGGTCACAGCCTAACCTCCACATGTCCCTTTCAAATTGTTTAGCCATTCGCGCCCAACGGCTATCTCTGCGCATAGTAATACTACGTGATTGGATGTGCTGTTATAAAACGACCGGACGCGGGAGACGCAGCGTTCGGTCGAGTCCAAAGAGCTCCCATAGCCGCTCTTGGCCGACCGGACGTGTCCGATCACACCGGACCGGACGCTCCTAGCGTCCGATCAATTATTGCGTTGAAACCCCGAGACTTACTAGTTACACGGCGTGGACGCATCCGGTCGCTCTCTGCAATCCTATTTCGGGCTATATCACTTTGACCTGACGCTGAACAGTAAGTCGTTAGCGTCCGGTCACCTCGGCAACTCTGCCCACACCTGGCCAGAATACCGGACGCATCCGGTCACGTCAGGAACACTGCCGCCTGAGACAGTACCGGACGCGTCCGGTCACACCGTGACCAGCGCATTCAACTTCTTTTCAACTCTATCTTCTTTACCCTTGCTCAAATGTTCCAACCACCAAGTGTATCACCTTGTGCACATGTGTTAGCATATTTTTCATAAATGTTTTCAAAGGTGTTAGCACTCCACTAGATCCTAAATGCATATACAGTGAGTTAGAACATCTAGTGGCACTTTGATAACTGCATTTTGATACGAGTTTCACCCCTCTTAATAGTACGGCTATCGATCCTAAATGTGATCACACTCGCTAAGTGTCTCGATCACTAAACCAAAAATGTTCCTATCAATTTCACCTTTGTCTTGAGCTTTTGTTTTTCTCTTTCTCCTTTTCAAAGTCCAAGCACTTGATCATCACCATGGCATCACCATCATTATGATCTTCACCGTTGCTTCACCACTTGGAATAATGTTACCTATCTCATGATCACTTAGATAAACTAGGTTAGCACTTAGGGTTTTATCAATTCACCAAAACCAAACTAGAGTTTTCATGGGCGAGACCCCCGCGGCCTCGGGGTCGGGTGAGACGGAAACTGCGTTCTTAGGGTCGGGCGAGACGGAGCCTGTGGCCTTGGACGAGACCCCCGTAGCCTCGGGGTTGGGCGAGACGGAAACTGCGTCCTTGGGGTCGGGCGACACGGAGCCCGAACCCAAGGGGTCGGGCGAGACATGTTAATACGTCTTGCTATGTTAAGGAAGTCAGCGTGGGCGCTAACTCCCTTGATTTAGGTATCCCTAATATCGATACCCGACAGTATGAGCTGACAACTTAGTTGGGGAAATAAACAAAAGACAGTGCGTTATCGTTTGGACTAAGTGCATGTAAGTAGAATTTTTTTCATGCTTGCAGGTAATCAAAAGGATTACTGATGGAGGGGTGGATTACTCTTTTGAATGTGTGGGTGATACTGGAGTAGTATCCACTGCACTTCAATCATGTTCTGATGTAATTTCTTGTCTTGCCTTTCCTTTTCATACAGACATATTTCACATATCCCGTTCCCTTCTATTCATTTGCATTTTCCCACTTGCTAGGGTTGGGGAGTAACTGTAACTCTTGGTGTACTAAAAACAAAGCCAGAAGTGTCTGCTCATTATGCATTTCTTCTATCCGGAAGAACACTGAAGGGATCTTTGTTTGGAGGATGGAAACCTAAATCTGATCTACCTTCATTGGTGGATAAATATGCAGACAAGGTGTTTCTGATTTTTTTACACAAACAAATATTTGAAAATAAAATCAGATCAACGATAGTAATATATTTCCCCCTTTTTGTGTTATGTGAGGTGGAGAGGCAAGATGATCTTAAATATGCATGTTGACATATTGGATGGTGGCTGTGTACTAAAATTGATGTCAGAAAACTACTGATTACTATGACACTAACAAAAACGAAACGTTCTGATCTCTTTGACATATTGATTGAATGCTTTAAGCTGAAAATTGACTTAGAAAGCATAAACTCACATTGACTATTATATCTTGTATTCTTGTCACTTATCAGGAAATCCAAGTTGTTGGCCTAGTCACGCATGATATACCATTCAGTGAAATCAACAAAGCGCTTGGGCTGATGCTAGAAAACAAGTGCTTGAGATGTGTGATTCACATGCCACAGTAACTGGGTCAAACAGCTGCACATGATTTCTACCATATGTTACATATCTGCTATTTCCCCCTTGATCTCCTTTGTGGCTCAACCGCTCAAGTACTCATCAGCACATCGGAGCTCAACTTTTTTTTTGCCCTTTTCTGGTGTCCTGGTAAACTTTTTTTTGATGAAAAGTGTCCTGGTAAACTTGTTGTAAATCCAGCTATCCAAGTCCAGAATTGTTTGTATCTTCTTACTTTTTCTTCAGGAATTGCTTTACTGTTATTGAATCTGTAATGACTGCTCTGTTATTTTAATGTTCCATGTATAAGGCATCAAGCCAATATTGTTCTTCTGTTTAACCTTGATTTGATGAATTGAGATTCGAAGGATTCTTGAATCTGTAACATTGTGTAGGGCTTAATGATAACAAAATTGAAGTGAAAATATTCTCTGATATGAGGGATTAAATTCTTTTTTTAACACTCACATTTCGTATTATTGAAGGACCCCATAGTGACTGTCATTAAAGTCTCTGTGTCTTGTACATGTATAGGGAATTTACTGGTTTTTGTCATATTTTCAGACTGAACAAGCTATGGATCTTTATCTAGTCATTTTTTTGGTTGAAAATTAAATATTACAGAAGGTGCAAATGGAAGGGCGGGCCTGGTGCAAGCGGTAGAGTCTTACCACCTGTGACCGGAAGGTCCCGGGTTCGAGTCACGGTCTCCTCACATTGCACAGGCGAGGGTAAGGCTTGCCACTGACACCCTTCCCAGAAGGTGCAAATGAAATCCAGCTTGTTATTTGATTAAGCACAGAATGAAGGATATATCAGGTGCTCAATATAGAAGTGCAACCAGTTATTCAAAAATTTAGCCTAAGAGATCTTCTCAAAAAAGTGGTATCTTTAGCAAGATCTTCTATCTTTACATGCTCTTCAGGTTACAACAGGGTCTTGCTACTTGGTCACCAGTAACAAGATCATTCCCTCTTTCCAAAATCACCTTTTTTTTAATATTAGTCTTATGCGACGCTTACGAATGTTTATTCTTCATCAGCTGATCTTGAGTTTCCAGAAGAGGCTTGAGGTTGGCAATGAACTTTATCCATGGTTAGCTCCCTTCTGCAATGGATCCGAATGAGGAAGCTCATAATCTTCGGGGTTTAGAGCAAATGGAAAATCTGGCAATGGAGGAGGTGTTGCAGTGATCTTGCTGACTCCTATGTTCAACGCTCTGAATTTACGCAACCAAAAAAAAAGAAACAGAATTAGCATATATGGTGTCAGCTATTTCTTCACCTCTTTCTTTGAATCTAATTCTTATCGATGCTCTAAATTTTTGCAACAAAAAAGAAGAATTGGCATATATGGTGTCATTCTTCACGTCTTTCTTTGATTCTGATTCTTACCCTTTTTGTGTGTTCAGGTCTTGGTAGCTCTGGAACTTGCTCTTTGCATCTTTTGGTATCATGTCCAAGAGATATTTGGTGGTTCCAAAAGCAGATGGACTTCTGCAGAGTAAAAAGACGATCGAGTTTATATCTTTGTTAAACATGTGGCGGATGTAGAGGGCACAGTATTAGACTTAGAGGCAGGTAAATTTAGATGGTCAAACATAGGGGATGAATAGACTTTGAGGTGCCAAATCACCTTGATGTTGGTGGAGCTGAGTGGAAGGCCTCAGAAGCCCTTTTGCTCTCATTGATAAACTCTTCTGATGATTGCAGAGCAGCCATGGCCGTCTCTTGTGATTTTTCAGTCTCCCCCTCATCAAGAATCAATCCGTGGAAATAGTATGCTGCAGCCTGGCAAGGGGAAAACAAAAACAAAAACAAAATGACAAGGATACTTACACACTGGAGAAAATATTTGTGCTCTGCCCAGGAAATTAATTTAAGTGGCTTACCAATGATTGCAAATGCAATTTAGAGATGAAAATGATTAAAGAAACAGAGTAAGATTGTGTGCACACCTTCGCTTCAACGTATTTCCATTTTACAATAGAGCATGTTTTCTCCCCCATCCAGCTGACAAAGGAAGCTCTGGGATGCTATCCTTAACCTGTTGAACAATATCTCAGATATATAAGTGAACAAGATTGTTTCGTAGTTGAATGCACAATGAAATGGAAATTGTGGTAAATAGATTTATGCATTGCTAAGGCCTGATGATAGGACTGAGAACTGACACCTGTTTCCAGCATTTGATCATCTCGCAAGCTAAGCGTCGTTTTACTGCTAATGTTGCCTTTGGGTTCTCAATTGCTAGTCCAAGCTGCATATCAACCCCCTGGAGGATATTAAGACAATTAGTGGCTCCAATTGAACCCTGATTGTTTACTTTCAATCAAAGTATTTGTGGAAATAAAGTATTAAGGACAAACATTCTAGCTATGTTAGAATATCTGCATAAATAGTATATAGATGAGAAGAGTTATAATGCAGTACCTGACCAAGACCTTGCAAGCTAAGAGCTTTAAGATTTCCCTGTGCTAGATCTACTGGAAGTTCTCTTCTGAAATTAAAACAACAAACAGGATAATTCAGTGGGTGTATTGCGAATTTCGTCTCTCAGATATTCACATTATTAGATCCTCAAGCATTAAACCTTCTTTCAGGTGGTATATGTATGAGTACATGATGAACTGCACAATCCAAATACCCAGCTGCCTTCAAGAAAAGATCAACAGTGGATTGCCTGCTCTCTGTGCCCGACCACGTGTTTTATGTTGTCAACAGTTGTCACAGGGCACAACATATATCAAGATTGACAATAGACTTATTAATCCAAAATAAGCATAGATATTAAGCTGAGACCACCAGGTCTATGTTTATACTGAACTGCACCAACCTTCTGACACTCTCGGTCCGTGACCATCACCATAGGACCTAGGAAGAAGCAGGGTGTTAGCCTGCAAGAAGCACACCATGGCCATCAAATGCAGCACGGACAGCACCTCATACCAAGGATCAGCCATGGATGTCTCCTGCAGTCCAGTCATGCAGCACTCTGAAACACATTCAGAAGAGCTTGCATAGGTGCATATAGAAGGGAGCTCAATTCTAACCTCAGTCACATCTTCTTGGTTAGCCCATACAAACTACACTTTGTTTCTCATCTCACTGCCTGCCTGCAACATTGATGCACGAATCATGATAAATCAGGAAAGCAATTTAACATAAACAAACAGTGATAGGGATATTTGGTGTACGTTATAATCACCTTCTTCCACCAATCCTAGCAGAGCTGGCAAGTACTCTTCCAGAGCCTGGAGGAGATTAGCAGTGCTAGACCCTCCTGCAGATCAAATACTACAATCAAAGCAAGAATTCTGGTATTCACCTTCAGCATGAACAATCAGGGCAGGATTCATATGCTGCAAGAACGGCCCGACTCACCATGCCGCGCTGCAGCCCTTCGCCTTGGCTTCAGAGCCGCCGACGATTCCTACGTCGCCATTGCCACAACCCTAGCCCTCAGAGCTGTCAGCCTCTCCACTGCGCTCTTGTTCAGGTCATCATCACCTAGTTGCTGAGACAAGTCTATGGTTCTTGGTACCCGGAGACCTGGGAGGAAGACAACCACCTCGCCGACACTTGACAGTCCTCTCTGGCGTACGACACCGGGATCACTCCATTTTGACGCTCCACAGCCCATGGATGTAGATTATATATCTGTAAGACAACCATGTTGGAAGCATCAGCAGTTGGATGTCTAGCAAGAAGTTCATGGCAACGAGCGAACACGTGAAGCGAATCACAAATTCAGTGTGCAAGTTTTTTTGAACAAAATTCAGTGTGCAAGTCATAACCAAGAAGTGAAGTTTCCCCAATGTATAGCAAGTCACTGCAAAAGAAGAACACAAAGGCTAAAACAAAGAATCTTACCTTATGCCGAGTGCTTGTCCTTTATGGTGAACTTTTGGGGTCTTGTTGAGCCATTAGCAAAATATCAAGATCAAAAGCCAAACCTTGAGCTGTGCTCGTTCTCTGTAAACCAATTGCCGCGCTTTTTAAATTCATATATGCAATCAAATGGTGGAGCGGAGGGACGGAATAAGGAAAGAATGTTTATCCTATATATGACAGACCAACGAACATCAAAAGGAGGGTGCAACTTGACCAAATTTAAGGCCAATTTGGCAGTTCCTCCGTGGGGAAAAACAAATAAGTTTTTGGCAAGTTGAGGTTACCATGAAATTAAAAAAGCATGTGCTTGTACTAAGAAAAAAATGGTGCATCATCATCTGGTAAGTAAGCACAACTCAGCTGATGTTTGCGCCTCTTTTACTAGTTCAATCAATCTAGAAGCAATGTTCTAGAAAACTTATTTGCCAAGGTATGTATCTGATTTGATGCTGATGAGCCGTTCTAGAAAACAGATAACAAATTTGACGGTGGGAAACTGGGAATTCGGATCTGGGGAAGTAGAACCCGATGGAATGGACGACTGGAGGTCTCGAGCGAGCGAGAGAGAGAGAGAAATTAATGTTGGATTAGTAAGACGCGAAATTAACAGATTATACTGTCTCATGCTTGTTGGTTCGAAAACGGGGAAAAAGAAGAAGAAAAGAAGCATGCCTGCCATGCTGCTTCTGGCAGAAAGAGGCATTGATACCGACGCCACCCGGCTCCGTTGGGAGTTTGATGGGCGGATGGTCCAAGAAAACCGAAAGCAGCAGCAGCACATCTACCGCACCGCGCATCGCTCTCACGAGTCACGAGTCACGAGTCACGACGGCAAAATCAATCATGTGATTGGGCGCTACTGCTAGTCTGCTAATCAATACGGTCGGCAAAATTCAGTATCAGATCTGCCTGAGTGGCATGGTATGGAGGAAGCTGCTTCTGTGCATTCACCTTGACTGCCCATTGGTATTAGTGCTACTAGTTTTGTTTTGCAGAGTGACATGTGTACTGTGTCGCGTGGCAAGAAATAACCAAAAAAAAATACTTTACCAGGCCTTGTTTAGATCACCAAAATTCAGTTTTTTATCAGATCACATCTGCCTGAGTGCATGGTAAATGGAGGTAAAAGCTGCTTCTGTGCATTCACCTTGACTGCACATTGGTATTAGTGCTACTAGTTTTGTTTTGCAGAGTGACATGTGTACTGTGTCGCGTGGCAAGAAATAACCAAAAAAATACTTTACTAGCTGGTGTTGGCTGCTGCTGACTTTGGGGCAGGATTTTGGAAGCTAGTGAGTAGTCGATACTCATTTGAAGTGGATCCATGCATGTTGTATGGTGTTCGAGCTTAAATTAAACACATGAATGTGCTTATTAGGCCAACGTTTTATGCATACGTGTGTGAAGAAAACGTTGCCTTGCATAAACTAATGAACAATTGAGACATGTAACGGACGTACCAATACCACTAGTTATCATCCGTCGGGAAAACGATCGCTAAGGAAGTACACGTACGTACATTACCTATTCAACGGCACGTGAGTGACACCGGCGATATGATTACACGTCACGTGGATGAAAATTTGAAATCACACTGATGATAACCTGGGAGAGGTGAGCAATTTACTTATATTCTAACATTTTTCCTCACGTGAAGGCTCCCTCAAGTTTCAGACGTGAAATAGGAGCGAGCAATAATTATTTTATTTAATTACGCTAACAAGGATTCAAACTTGAGACCTTTGACTCTAATACCATATTAAGTTACATGCACCGACCAATTCAATCCAAAAGCTTAAGTTGATGGGAGAGGTAAGTTGCATACACCGACCAATTAAACCCAAAAGCTTAAGCTGATGAGGGAGGTGGGCAATTCACTTATATTCCAACACTCTCCCTCACGTGGAGGCTCCCTCAGGCCTCAGACGTGAAATAGGAGCGGGCATCAATTATTTTATTTAATTGCGCTAACTAGGATTCGAACTCGAGACCTCTGGCTTTGATACCATATTGAGTTGCATGCATCAATCAGTTCAATCCAAAAGTTTAAACTAATACAAAGAGGTGTGCAATTCACTTATATTCCAACATGTTGCATCGGTGTCTCGCTAGTCAAGTTGGTGTTATCTGGTAGGGCAATCGCTTACTCTCCCTAGTTCCATTAGGCCAGTCTCATTAAGGGTTTTATGGCTCAGTTTTCAACACACCCATATTTTGAAAACAGTACATAAGAGTTTCATCCCCATGAAACTTTCCTACTTTCATGAAACTTTTATCATCTATCTCTTTATCAATATAGTGCCATGTCAGCATATTTAATGCCCATAAAACTTTATAAAACTCCTATTGAGATTGGCCTTATAATTTTGGACTTGCTAGTGCACGGACGTCCGTTCCTGGACGCTAGTGTCGGATAGTGCCGCGCCCGTAAGAAGCGTTGTCCACGCTGTCTTTTTCGCGTGCCCCACCGCATGGACCCGACGCTGCTTCCAGCCCTACCATCACGCTCGCTTTGCTTCGCCTGACCGTCATGCGCCCGCGCCTGCATGCGGGAACATCATGTGGGTCCCAGTCACCTGCCATGCCTATGGATGCGCGTCACGCGGATGCGTCTACATGCATCAGGCGCCCGCACGGTGACCCACGGCGGCGCCCTAGCTGTTGAGGCGGCTGCGGCAGGTGGGGTCCCATTGCAATATATGTAACACCAGATCTACTTTTGTAACATCCAGATAAAACACTTGTAACATACATCTGAAACCGTTAAAACACTTGCAACATGCGTCTAAAACACTTGCAAGTTGCAAAACACCAAAAAAGTTGCAAACACGTGTGTAGCCATTGCAAACATACGTAACATTCAGATGAAACATTTGCAACATATGTATGAAACATTCAAACATTCAAAACATATGCTTGAAAAATGCATGTATATGTAACATCCAGATCTATTTTTGTAACATCCAGATAAAACACTTGCAACATATGTTTGAAACAGATGAAATATTTTGAACAAACTCTTGCAACATATGTATATAGCCATTACAACATGTGCAACATCCCGATCTACTTTTGTAACATCCATATGAAACACTTGCAATATACCCCTAAAACATCTGAAACATACGTTTGCAACATGCGCTTTCAGCGCAACATCTCCTTGTTGCTTGGGAGAATGGAGGCTCGTCAGCGTGTGGAGTTCACCGGTGTAGAGCTCGCTAGTAGCGCGGAGCTCGACGCTCTGGTGGAGAAGGTCACGGTAGGTCCGATGTAGAAGGCTGCTCCGGTGGAGAAGGCCGTGGCGGATCTGGCGTGAGCTGTCACTGCTCTGGTGGAGAAGGTGGTCCGCGTGTTGGAGAAGGCCACGGTTGGCAGAAGGCACGATTGAGATGGAGGAAGGCAGGCGACCACGCTCGGGTGTGGTGGAGATGCCGGCTGGTAGGCCCAAGGTCGTCGTGGAGAGCGTTGAGGTGGCGCGGGTGGAGCACGGCTGCAGCGTTGCGATGGAGTGCCTTCTAGAGGATGGAGACAACAAGCTATGGTTAGAAAGGATAAGAGGATATGTAGGATCACTGGTACGCCTAGAGGGAGGGTGAATAGGACTATAAAAATTCAACTCAAACCAAAGTCAAATTCAACCGCGGCACTACCGCACCTCCAGGAGAGATTTGTTCACAGTTCAAAATCTACCCAACGAAATTTAGATCGGGTAGATTTCTTAGCTTCCTGCATGGTAGTAGATCATAGATTGACAGCTGAAAGTGGTGAAAACACCACACACAAGTAGATAGGCCTCAAACTCTAGAAATCACCTCAACAACAACAAGAACACAAGTGAAGCAACACAAGCATAAGATGACATAAGGATTTATCCCATGGTTCAGCTCGCCACCTGTGGTAGAATCATCTAATCTAATGCCTCCCAGGAGTATTTGTCTTCCATTAGACACTAAGTACCCAAGGGAGAACACCAAATCACTGCGGTTCCGTCGGACACACCCCATGGGAGAACCAAAAAATCCATATTTTTCATCAGGATCACAAATGAGAGAATAAAGATTACATCATTATTAGCCATTTCTTACATCACTTTTTATGTAACATCAGAGTATAATAGTTATTGTTTATAATAGCGAAATATGAACATGTTATCAGAGTTATGAACAATTTAAGTTAACAGTGGAATATAAACATGTGATCAGAATTACAGCAGAAATAAATATCTATTCATGACATGATGAACATTGATATATAAACTATGACAACAAATTATAAAACTTCCATTTATAAAAACATTTAGTGAAAGTTATAAATAAAAATTATGATCGCAGCGTAAAGGAATCCTCTCTAAGCCCACCAGGAGGAATCCACATACAAGGGTCAGCTCTAGCATCCACCTGTCACCTACAACAGAGGGAAATAAAACCCTAAGTACTCAATTGTACTCAGCAAGACTTACCCGACATGAGAAAAGAAAAGACTCCAAGAATATACAAGGCTATCTAGCTGATGGGTTTATTGCATCTGCAAGAAGCATTACTAAGCGTGTGTCCTTATATTCGATTTTATTAGCAGTCATTATTAGTTCATTAACTACCTATTCTATGTAAGCACCTGTGCTACTTTCAAGCAGGTGGTAAGCAATCATATTTCTTTTTTACCATCTTTCATCTTCCAGTTCTTACTACGTTGCTAGACTATAGACAAGCCATACCGGATCGCCCAGTGATTCACGAATCAATGTGCTCA